TTGATGACTGATATGCGTCTACTAACAATATGAATTTTTATTAAGTCTTCAAGAGCAGGAAGATTTTCTTCTTACTCCATTTGAACGCAATCTCGAAGTTTGGCGTCAATTATGGCGTGTGATTGAACGCTCCGATTTGCTCGTACAAATTGTTGACGCTAGAAATCCTTTATTTTTCCGCTCTGAGGATTTGGAAAAATATGTAAAGGAAATAAATGAAAAGAAAAAATGCATTTTGTTAATTAATAAAGCGGATTTATTGACAGCTCGTCAACGGTAGTAAATTTTTAAAGTCGTGTAACCGAATTATTTTTATTAAATTTCTATTGACTTTTAATTTTACGAATATAGACGCATATGGGCAGATTACCTTGACTCTCAAGGGATTCGTTATATTTTTTTTTCGGCTATTCTGGCGCATGAAAGGCTTGAAAAAAAGCAAAATATGCAGACTGACAATGAAACTATTTCCTCTATTGGTGAAGAAAAGGTACCTCCATTTTACCAAACTTCTACTATTAATATATGTAGTTAAATTTATAATTTATTAAAATAGGAAAATTACAAAGACAATCCGTTGCAAGAGAAGCATACGAACATGGAAAAATGACATATCAACAGATAACTTAAATGAGGATAATGATGAAATGCTGAAAAACCATAATATCGATGACCCATCTGATCATCGAGAACGTATTAGTGCAACCGAAGATTTAATTTCTATGCTGACCTCTGAAGTGAGAGGAGAAGAAGGTTCGATTTAATTTCCTGTACCTTACTGCATACAAATTAAAGATTATGCGTTGTATTTATTAGATACACATATTATATACTTTTCTTGTAATTAGTCGATAAAGACCACAAGATAGTGATAGGATTGGTTGGTTATCCTAACGTGGGTAAATCATTTACAATAAATGCTCTTCTTGGAGAAAAACGAGTTTCGGTTTCATCAACACCAGGAAAGACCAAACATTTTCAAACTATACATCTTTCGCCTTCACTGGTATTATGTGATTGTCCTGGATTAGTTTTTCCAAATTTTGCGACAACAAATGGTGATATGGTTTGCAATGGTGTTTTGCCTATTGATCAATTACGGGAGCATACTGGACCTGTTGCTTTAATTGCACAAAGAATACCAAAAGCTGTACTTGAAGCCATATATGGTATTAAAATTAAGGTTAGACCAATCGAAGAAGGTGGCGCAGGAATCCCTTCAGCAGAAGAACTAACAGTGGCTTATGCAGGTAAACATTGTTCCTTTGCATTTTACATTAACTTTATTACATTATAAACTTTATAATAAAATTTTTGAATTATATTAGTTTCTCGCGGGTATACTAAATCAGGACATGGAAGCCCTGATGAATCGCGAGCCGCAAGATATATATTGAAAGATTATGTGAATGTAGCGTATACATTGTATTTAATAAATTAAATTTAAGTATTTAATAAAAGTTAACGTTTATTTATTATTGCTATTTGTTTCATTGTTTTACAGGGAAAACTTCCATATTGCCACCCCCCACCAATGGGGATATCAAAAGAGGAATTCAACGCGGAGATACATGATTTAAAACTTTATACTAAACCGGTAAAAAAGAAGACAATTACTCAACCTTTACCCTCAACAGTAAATACAGAAGTAGCATCGGATGGTGCAACACCTATTACAGGAGACATATCACGAGAGCTTGACAAATCATTTTTTAACAATCAGTCTTTAGGAGCGAGGACAACGGGTAGATATGCTATGGGAGAATTTAATAGAGTTAAATTATATCCAATTCATGGCGCATTAAGCGATGATACTACACCAGCTAATGGATCTCGATTGACACCAATTGTGGGGCCAGGTAAAAAACGACATTGGAAGGGAAGAAAAAATCGAAAATAATTTAAGATATAAAAAAAAAAAAAAAACAATTTGTACATTTTATCACAAATAATTCATCAACGTTTATAATGCGGTACAGAAATTCATATCAAAAAAACGAATAAATTTTTACATAAATTTGTTCCAATATAAAAAATAATGTATAAACAGTGTTACAAGCAGACTATGTGTTAGTCGGCTTAGTTGAATCTTAATAAAATAGAGTTAACCATGTTCTAAATTTATATTTATTTTAGAGAGCTCGAATTTAATAATTTAGAGATAAACAGAAATTTTCATGTCGTTTACCTGCATCTTGATCGATTTTTGATTGGTCAAAAATCATATTAGGTGATGTTTTATTAATCGACTAAGTCGATTTTATAAAATAAACTTGGTCGATGGTTTAGGGTTTAGGCCTTGATCACTAATAAATAAATTATTTATGAAAGTGAATATATGAAAATATTTATTATGATATAAAATTTTGGAACTGATAATTTTACAATATATGATTACTTTGCACTATCCTAAACAAATACATAATAAATTTCTAGATAAAATATGAATGAACGATTTTTATATACATAGATAAGAATACAATAAATTTTTTTCTTAAAAAAGATTATTTTTTAGATCCTCCAGAAAATCCACCAGAAAAAGTTGGTTGATTATAATTATAATATTGATTATTTTGCATGTAATAAGTAGAGTTTGGTTGAGATGTATATGGAGTTGGATGATTTTGATAAGAATAGGGGGTGGTAAGATTTGGTTGAGGTGTAACCTGACGATTTAAAGGTTGTTGAGGTTGCAACTGTATAGGAACTTGAGCACGATTAGTGGGTAAGGGATTTTGTTGTGGATTCTGTTGTAAATTTGGTTGTAGATTTTGTAGATTTTGTTGTAAATTCATACTTTGTTGAGTGAGACGAGATGAGACCGAAGTCAATGAGTTCGTTGAAGTTCTACGTTGATGACTATCAGAGTTCCTTGGAGACTGGGAACTTTGTAATATACTTTTTGTGTAAACCTTCGGGAATATACCAATTATATCTTTGCCTTTAACACAACCACGCCACCAGTCATCATTAACATATTCGGTCACTTCTATGTGATCCCCTTTTTTGAAGCTCAAATCACCATCATCAGTTCCGTTAAAATCCCATTGCGCTTCAACAACTTGAGGACTATAAACAGGTAGCATATCATGTATTTTTGGAACTCTAGATTTGTTAGCATAAAATTCAGCTTCTTGTTGTTTACTAATAAAATTAGGCGGCACAGTAGGATGTTGTAGAGGAGCATTATTTATTGAATTTGGAGGTTGTGGTAGGGGACCTCGTGACATAGAATGTCTTGGAGTTGAACTTCTAGAAGCTGTTTCGGGAACCGTGGTAGGTTGATCGACAGTCCCTCCGTAAGGTATTTCAGGTTTATGCTCTTGTTGTTCGTGTATAGATGAAGAAGGTAGTTGAGAACCTGTACCATTTTGGGATGGTAAATATTGTATCCCACTCTGTTCTTGTGGTTGTATAATAGATGTATTTTTTACTTCGGAATGTACAAGTTCAGAATCTGCTTTTGATTTTTCAGAATGTACAGAAG